TTAATCACCATACATTACATCATTAGTTTTTGACGTAGTGTTCCATGATTCATTGTTTGCGTATAACACCCAGTGCTCCACGCAGAACGTGCCCTCTTTGATACCCATCACCAGGCTAACCCATCCCCCCACCCCCCCTCCCCTCTAGAACCCTCAGTGTGTTTCTCAGAGTCCACCGTCTCTCATGGTTCGTCTCCCCCTCCGATTTCCGCCCCTTCCTTTTCCCTTCCTGCTATCTTTTTTTTTTAACATATAATATATTATTTGTTTCAGAGGTACAGGTCTGTGATTCAACAGTCTCACACAATTCACAGTGCTCACCACAGCACATTCCCTCCCCACTATCACCCAGCCACCCCATCCCTCCCACCCCCCACCACTCCAGCAACCCTCAGTTTGTGTCCTGAGATTAAGAATTCCTCATATCACTGAGATCATAGGATACATGTCTTTCTCTGATTGACTTATTTCGCTCAGCATAATACCCTCCAGGTTCCATCCACGTCATTGCAAAAGGCAAGATTTCATTCCTTTTGTTGGCTGCATAATATTCCATTGTATATACATAACAAATCTTTATCCATTCATCTGTCAATGGACATCTTGGCTCTTTCCACAGTTTGGCTATTGTGGACATTGCTGCTATAAACGTCGGGGTGCACGTACCCCTTCGGATCCCTACATTTGTATCTTTGGGGTAAATACCCGGTAGTGCAATTGCTGGATCGTATGGTAGCTCTATTTTCAACTGTTTGAGGACCCTCCATACTGTTTTCCAGAGGGGTTGCACCAGCTTGCATTCCCACCAACAGTGTAGGAGGGTTCCCCTTTCTCCGCATCCCCGCCAACATCTGTCGTTTCCTGACTTGTTAATTTTAGCCATTCTGACGGGTGTGAGGTGGTATCTCATTGAGGTTTTGATTTGGATTTCCCTGATGCTGAGTGATGTTGAGCACTTTTTCATGTGTCTGTTGGCCATTTGGATGTCTTCTTTGGAAAAATGTCTGTTCATGTCTTCTGCCCATTTCTTGACTGGATCATTTGTTCTTTGGGTGTTGAGTTTGAGAAGTTCTTTATAGACTTTGGATACAAGCCCTTTATCTGATATGTCATTTGCAAATATCTTCTCCCATTCTGTCGGTTGTCTTTTGGTTTTGTGGACTGTTTCCTTGGCTGTGCAAAAGCTTTTAATCTTTGATGAAGTCCCAATAGTTCACTTTTGCCCTTGCTTCCCTTGCCTTTGGTGACTTTTCTAGGAAGAAGTTGCTGTGGCTGAGGTCGAAGAGGTTGCTACCTGTGTTCTCCTTTAGGATTTTGATGGACTCCTGTCCCACATTTAGGTCTTTGAACCATTTGGAGTCTATTTTTGTGTGTGGTGTAAGGAAATGGTCCAGTTTCATTCTTCTGCATGTGGCTGAAGCAAACCCATGAAGCATTCATCTATGTGTCTGTTCTGTGCCATTCCTCTGGTTTCTAACAGCCCTATTTACAAACACAGTGCCCTCCACACAACAAGGCTTTGGAACCTATGTCAATTTTTTATTTATATGACTAGATGCGATCCCCCAAACTACACATCAGACTGCAACAAATTTCTTCTTAAACTCACCATGATGCCTCAAAAGATTTAGGTGATTAACTTCCAAATTCTCAGAATAATAGTGAGGTCTGAATGACCTAATGATGCACAGCACAAATTAAAATAGATTCATAATTCACCATGAATTCCCAATGCTGAATCTGTTTTTTTAACAATGAACTAATTCATTCATCTCTAATGCTTGACATCAGGTGAGGAAAGATGACGAAGAGCAGTTGAGCTTTAAGGAACGACAGAAACACAGCAATGCCGTATGGGAGGACAAGAACAGACAGAGAGAAGACTATGTAAGACCTGGGTGATCGCTCAGAAGACGCACAGGGAGCCAGGAAATGGGACTCAAGGCTTGGTCGGTCCATCTGGAAGAGTCCCTTCTGACCTCAGATCTGTTGAGTTGGAGCCTGCCAGTGATGACTGCATCAGACGTCTCTCAGTGACATTCTCCCTTCTGGTAACCAACCCTTCTGTCTTGTTAACTCATCACTGCACAAGCAAGATGCAAATCCTCTGGAACGAGGATCCTGGCTTTCTCTTTCATCTGTATATCACCAAATTGCTCACAAGCGTGTCCTACCTCCTGTCTATAGTAAACCAATGACTGATGGCACAAAATGGCAAAGATCACAGTTTAGCAAAAACATTACAGTTCATTCTGCAAATGATTTATTGTCACTCAGCTCCATGATTAGCTCTCGGTTTTCATTTTTTGGGTTTGTTTTTTTTTTTTTTTCTAGACCGCGGGAGTGGTGCTTCATTGGTATTAAGGGAATAGCCAAAATAGTTATCATGAAAGCCTCCATTGTTAGACAAAGGAATATCCTAAATTATTTTTAAAATTGGCCTTTCTTATCAAGGCACAGTAAACAATTAGAAACTTCAGACAACATGGAGTTACTTATTAACAAGAAGAGCTCTTATGGGGAAAATAAGGAATACCAAGATCAAATTTATCAACAGACCTGTAACTTTTATTTTTTTTAAGATTTTATTTATTTATTTGAGAGAGAGAGAATGAGAGATAGAGAGCACATGAGAGGGGGGAGGGTCCGAGGGAGAAGCAGACTCCCCGCTGAGCAGGGAGCCCGATGCGGGACACGATCCCGGGACTCCAGGATCATGACCTGAGCCGAAGGCAGTCGCTGAACCGACTGAGCCACCCAGGTGCCCCCAGACCTGTAATTTTTAAACTTGATTCTCTTTCCTCTTTCCATGTCTTCAAAAAATACAAATTTGGGATTTGGAAACACAGTAATTCAAAAATGTTACTCATCTGGTTAAGACTCCATGCCCTAACACTGACTACCATTCCAATTTGGGCCAACAGTGGCTTCGCAAATGTCCCACGTGGCAAACCCAGGTGAATAAACAAAACAAACATAAGGATGAGAGGATTGCTATCCTCATTCTAACTAAAAATCCTGCCTATTTCTTTCTTTTTAAGCTGTCACTGCCATGTTTAAGTTATAATTGTATCTTCTCAATGAGAACAGTGCCTTATTATTGGAATTGGCAGGGGGCCTTGACATTTGAGTCATCATTTCATTATGCCTATTCCTTACCCTGGTATACAAATTAAATAGAAATACAAGCCAGATGAAATATGGGGGGGGGGATCTGAAGCAATCACTTTAAACTGAATTAATTTTTCTCAAATCTACAAATATAGAGAGCCATTAACATGGATAATAATATATTCCACCTCAGGCACATTTTCAAAGATATTCACTCCAATTTCAGAGGCCAAACCTGCTCAAACCCTTCTAGCCAAACACTTCACATCTGCAAAACAGAACCGACAGCTTTAATATTCTCTAAATTATAAAGATAGAATAATTCCCTTTTAAATCAACTACAACTATGGGAAAAACACACATTTAACAGCTTTTCTCTTTTTCTTAACAGCTTCAAAAATGGGTAGCAATCACTGAACATGTAAATATATATATATACACACACACATATATAAAATACGCACATGTGAAAAGTATTATTTAAAATGTGTAATCGCATAGAAAAATAACAATTCATTCAGACTAAAATATCCAAATGTGCCTAGCTGGAATTTCAGGTTTATCCACAGATGTTTTGAAATCACTGAATGTAAATGATAAAAAATGGTAAGTCACAGGACCCAGGCATCCTGAATAAATGGGCATCATTCCCTAGTTCTCAAGCATTTTGTTAAAAATTTTTCCACTGAATTTCAAAACGATAAAAATCAGTTCTAACATGAATGCTACATGAAATCCTCAAAAACGTCTTTGGCTCTGCTTCCAGGAGGCTATTCCCTTGTTTACTTATGATGGCGGGGAGGGAGCCCAATGCGGGGCTCGATCCCAGGACCCTGGGATCATGACCTGAGCCAAAGGCAGACACTTAACGACTGAGCCACCCAGGCACCCCAAGACTGTTCATTTCTAAAAAGCCAAGAGCTTTCCCCAAAATGCTTGGGAACAAGCTGAATCACCTAAGAGAACTTTATTGTCCTCGATACAAAATACTGAATAGCTCTACTAGAAGCTGAACATGCATATATGCAAATGTCTACCCTTGAACAGCATTATTTATATTATTTATTATCCTATTTAAAATAGTAATGACTAACTTTTCTTTACATTTTATTATTTTAATAAATTGACTTCTCCTAAAAAAAAAAAATTTTACCTGAGGGAACATATTTGTGTAAACGAATTCAAGATTTATCTTTTAGCTTTTTCTTTCTTTATAAGTTATAACCCAGACTTTCCAAAAACAGGATTCAAAGAAATTCGCCATAATTCCTAGTGTTCACCATGTTCTCCAAGCAGTGAGCGTGTTCTGAAGGAAGGAGTCTGTTTTAATACTAAAATCTACTTAGAAGTCTTAATATCGTCCCTTAATTTTCCAACTTTTAGAAAATCCATTCTTCTGCAAACTGAGACAAAAATAGGATACAAACCAGATGTTCCTCGATTATGAGGAAATGAATGAGCAGAGCACATTCAAAGTGGAGCTTGCTCTTCACCCCTATTTATTTTAGAAGGCAAGCAGGCCCCACGATGTGGGATTCCATCTTACCATTTGTCTGGTAGTGTGACTTCCATCGGTGGAAATAGTCATGGGTTTACAGTATCAGGCTTTAAGGGAGTCCTATCATTTCTGTAATTACTATGGCTGGTATTAATAAGTGTCTTCTTTTTATATGCTGAAATAAATTAATGGAAGAGGCAGACCCTATGCAAAATGGCTGGGAAGAAGGCCAATCTTTTTACATACATCCAGGCACCAGTGATTTCCAAAATGGCACTTTAAGCTCTCTTGCCTAAATAATTACAAGGACAGCCAGCCAGCATGTAATTTACTGAAATAATTACGCACTCTTCCAGTTCCCACCACCCAGCTCCAGCCCGTGGCCGCTTACCTTGTCCTTGTTTTCAGTGCCAGAAGCCTCGGGCTTGGTCCTGATCACGAATGGGGTGGACAGGCGCAGCAGGACCCGCTCAAAGGCGGCATGAACCCTGGGAGACACGATCTCGAAGCAGTCCTGGAACTTGAGCACTTTGTGAGCATCACACCGAAGCTGCTTCCGCAAGCCTTCCCCCAGCTGAAGGACGGACATGTGGGGGTCGAACATCAGGTGGAAAGGGAAGGCTCTGCAGAAGGTGCTGATGCTGATTCTGAGGTCCGCAGGAACTTGGGAGGTGCCCTGGGGAAGGTTCTTCGTGATGGTGGTGTTTTCACATTCTTTGATAAGGAAAGTAAGACAACCACAGTTGCCCGGGTTCGAAGCCTCAGAGCCCAGCTTCTCATTGGCAACTTGCTCCACCGCCACATCCAGCCGGTAGATCTTCTTGGCTGCGGCCTTAATCATCCCAAGCATTGCGAACCCCACAGTATGGTGAGGGTGGAAATAGTGGAGTGTCAGAGTGCCTTCGGGGAGCTCTTTGCATAGGAATGATGGCGACTCCAGAGTGGCCTGTTTTCCAAAAGAAGTTCTAATGTGTTCCAACAAAGCATCAAAGCCATTAAAAAAATCCTGCAATGTGCCGCCCACAGCTCGAAGGACTCTCTCATTCTCATCAAAGCATATATTAAAGAACTCCTCGCCAAATCTTTCTTGGATTTCCTCAAACTTCAAACCTGGAGGTAAACGGGTAGGAAATGTTAGAGAAGTATAATGAAATAATCGAATTTATAGCTTTTTTTAATGCTTGTCAAAGGAGATAACTAGTGAGTGGGGCAAGAGAAGTATTTCCCTTGGGCCCACAAATTCCCAAAGAGATGAATTCGTTTTGAATTAGGGAAAGTAAATTTCAATTCATCTTCTGGAGGCTTCTAAGATGTTAATGAGCATAAGCTTGTTTTAGTATTTTTGTTTGTTTTTAAATAGTCTTCTTTTTTTAGAGCAGTTTTAGAGTCACAGCAAAATTGAACAATAAGTATGGATATTTTCCATAGAACCCTCTCCCCACAAACACACAGCTTCCCTCTCACCCCACTATTAGTCCTGGCCTACTGTGATGCACTTGTTACCACCAGTGAGCCTACAATAACACAGTATCATCTCCCAGAGTCCAGAGTTTACATTAGGGTTCACTCTTGGTGTTGTGCACTCTCCGGTTTGGACAAATGTGTAATGATATGTGTCCACCATTATAGCATCATACAAAGTAGTTTTGCTGCTTTAGAAATCCTCTGTGCTCTGCCTGTTCATGCCTCCCTCCCCTGAGCCCCTACAGCATAAACTTTCCAAATGTTGCTAATCTAGCTGCTCACTTTTCTTTTCAATACCCTACTGCATTTGCTGTAATCAGCACAAATAAGATCATCTTAATGATTTCCCTCTTCGTTAGAGGAACTTTTTAGAAGCAACTTATAATGTTGTGTCTCTATTGCACCCATCCACTATTCCTATCTTATCAAAATTCATTTGTTAAGTAGGAAATATCGTCCAGAGAGGGAATTTATGGTACCCGAGTCGGGAAAGACATCAGTTTATCTAGTGTCAACAGAAATAATTAAGTTAGACCCCAGTAAGAGAGAGACAAACAAGGAACTAAAAATGGCAGAACTGTGGGCTGATTTGCATTCTTTCACCCGCAAAAAATGAGAGTAGCCAAGCGTGGAGTAGGAATCTCACCAGAAAGAGTTAAAAGCCTTTGTATCCTCAGTTCATACTTCCACATGCCATGGCCAAGGGAACTCTATGTTACAGCAGTGGAATTATAACAAAAAATACATACATACATACATACATACATACATACACACACACACACAATGCATGATGTAGAAATTAGAACCAGTCACATGTGATCTAGTTAGATCAACCCTTAAGGATGATCTGAGGAGAAATACAGAGGGAATTTATGGTCCAAAGAGGAAGAGTACAATGCATACAGGAGAGTTGAGTGTGTGTGCTAAAGGAATCTTCCATATGGAGTCATTCTACTGTTTCTCCTTTGACTTTGGCTGAAATCAATACATGTAAGTTTGCATGTTCATAATTTCTTGCCTCATCTCCTGAATCTTACAGGGAGGTCCTGAAGGTAAGGCAGGATTGGGAAAAGACAGAGGTCACCTTGCTAGCGTCCTGTTCAAGTACAGAGCAGTCTGGGTTGTCTACAGCTCGGTTTGCTGTTCCTACCTTTATCATTCCCTAAGGGTTCTCTCCAGGCAGAAATGCAGGAATAGAACAGTCAACACCACCATTTGGAAAACACAGTCAAAACACATCAAATATTTTTTGAGAGAGTACTACAGAGTATAAACACTGTGATAGCCAAATGAAGAAATGTTTGACAAAAAAAGTTCTTAAAAGCAATGAAACAAAAAGCAGTAAAAATCCAAGTGAGAAAGAGTCCTTTTATTAAGAAGAATTTCACATTAATTTTGGTTTCATAGATCTGACGTGCAAGTCAAGCTGAGACAGTCCCCTATCGAGATTAAAAACATGACTGCACATCTTACATGGTCATGGTACGAGACTGCCCTTCAGCATGTGCTGCATTCACTAACAATAATGTCAGCCCAAATGGAGAATAATAGCATTCATCTGTCCAGTTCTCCAGTGTGGAAGGAAAAAAGCAAGGTGGAGGACACTCACTGCAATTTGGCTTCTGTTCCCACTGCTCCGTTGAAACTACTTTTGCAAATGCTTCAGCCAATACTTACTGCTCAATCCCTACCTTAGTTAACCTTGTTTGCTGTTTTTCTTTTAATTTGACTCTACTGATCATCTCATCCTCCTAAATCTCCCTTCTCTCTGGTTTCTAAAACCATACTCTCTTGGTTTGATGACTATCTGTCTGAAAATTCCTTCACAAAAATATCTTCCTATGCCAAATCACTGTATCATCATCACTACCTAACTAAAAAGTCCTAATACAAATTAAATGGATATCCCTTCAAAAACAATGTTCTTGGTTGCTATTAAGTTTTTTCATTACAAAAGTCTAATTAAAACTAAATTCCAAGTAAATAAAAATTCCTATAAGCTGACTATACTTGCTGAACTACAGAATCCCATGTGCCATTAAAAATATTTTACGGATGGCTTCTATCCTTTGAAGAGTTCTATTTTAAAAGGATTCAGGGTCTTTATGCACAGAAAAGGAAAAGAGTATTTCTTCTAACTTGCTTTTTTCCTAACACTGAAAATGCCCTCAGAGTTATCAAAGAACATAGACATGAACATAATGCGGTAAGCTTATGCTCTATTTCCAACGCCAGAATCCCCCCCAAATCATCCAGAAAATAACAAGTAAATTCACCAGAGGCACAAACTAAAAGCTACTGAGTACAGCATTCCATCAGCTAGAAACCCCCACCGTCTTACAAAGCACTTTGGTACAGGGTTGTTAATTTTGCAATGATGACACCAAGACCTGCAAGGATGCTAGAGTAACTTGTATCAATAAAGAAAAGCTGAAATGTTTTGAACATTACACTCAAATCCTATACATGGCAATTCTGTAAAATCACAATCCTTGATTAACTAATAAAGATTTTTGTTCTCACAATTATGAAAATGTACAAGATCATAAAAGAAGAAAAAATTTCTTCCAGCTGGAAACATGGAAAACTAGCAAAAGATCACTGTAACTGTTGCAAATATGCTATAAATCAATAGCCAAGAGTTACATTTTAAACCTTGTCTCAAAATTTAGGAAGCACAGAGAAAGTATTTCAGCTCAATTGGTGCCCTTCTCACTTCCAAGGCTGTACCTATGATTGATGCAAACCCCCTACTTAGAGTAAATCACTTCAAACATATAGACAATGCTCATCTTCTCATAACAGAAAACACTATGACAGCTTGACATTTGGGTCTATAAGAATACATTCCTCTAGGGGCAAAACTTATAAAAAATCTGCTTTCATTAACAAGTAAGTTAGAAGTCAGAATTTTAAATTACTGTTAATGCACCTCTTGAGAAAAATGAATAGCCTAAACGTGAAGTCCTTTAGCTGAAAATAATCTATTCATCGATGATATGAATCTTTTGTCCCCCATCTGCTCTCTGACTTCACATTGTGCACTTCTTAAGGACAAGGACATTATCCCCTTTATGTCTGCATACCCATCAATAGCATAATGCCTGGCAACAAAGACACTAAGATTTCATTCACAGAAACTAAGCTTTCCTCTAAGTACTTGTTTGATAAATTTAATCAAGCTTTTAAAGCTACACTTGTGCCACATTTAAGGATACCTAGACAACTAGACACATTCTTTTCTGATATGAGACTCTACAGATAATTAAATCACAGTGGGATTGGGCTGTAACAGAGGCACACGGGAATACCTACGAAGGTACGCAGAAAAGAATGTCTGACTCTCTCCTCAGAGAGATAATGTCTGAACAGAGACTTGAAAAAGTGGGTGTTCGAAAACCCAACAATGAAGGAACAATCACATTAATGAAGGGACACTAATGGAATACAGATGAGCCAGAGAAATGGAAGAGCCTGGCGTGATCAGGGAAGGGCAAAAAGTCAGTGGATATATCTGGGGAACAGGAGTGAGGGGGATGAGCTGTTAACCGATGAGCAATGTGGAGGCTGGACTGAGGGCTGCCAAGGCCAGAGTCAAAGACACCAGCCAGAGAGACACTATAACGTCTTAAAGACTATATGGCCTGAGTTAGAGAAGTCCCGGGAGAAGAGTGTTAAGCAATGTGCTGAACATTTTCATAGATCACTTCACACTTTAAAAAATTCTTATCAGGGGCACCTGGGTGGCTCAGTCGGTTGGGCGACTGCCTTCGGCTCAGGTCATGGTCCTGGAGTCCCGGGATCGAGTCCCACATCGGGCTCCCTGCTCAGTGGGGAGTCTGCTTCTCCCTCTGACCCTCCCCCCTCTCATGTGCTCTCTCTCTCATTCTCGCTCTCTCAAACAAATAAACAAAAATCTTTAAAAAAAATAAAAATAAAAATAAAAATAAATAAAAAATTCTTATCAGGCCTGGTGATGGGTATTGAGGAGGGCACGTTCTGCGTGGAGCACTGGGTGTTATGCACAAACAATGAATCATGGAACACTACATCAAAAACTAATGATGTAATGTATGGTGATTAACATAACAATAAAAAAAATTTTTTAAAAATTCTTATCAGGTAGGTATTTTTAATTGTCCTCATTTTACAAGTGAAAAATGTTAAGAAATTTGCCCAAGCTCACACAACCGTAGGTAGCAAAGGTAGATCTCAAGGTGAAGCATGTCTAATACTACCTCTTTGAAATAAGCACAGTATCAAAAGAGAAGACTATCTGGGTGGGGGGTGGGAAATGCATGTCTTGCTCAACATTATATGATCAATGCCTAGCACTCCGCGTGATATTTAGTAGGTGCTCAATAAATATTAGCGAGATGTTGAATGAATTAACGCATCACTAAAGTCAACAGAAAGGAGTTACAAGGAGCAGTCAACAGTTGCCAAATGCCAGAGCAATGTCAAGTAAGGTAAGGACAGAAAACTGTAAACTGGATCGGTCAGCACCTTGGGGAACTTTGACAGCAATTTCAGCGGAGGGGAAAGGGTGGAATACTGGGTGTAAGGGGTTAAGGAGTGTGTGGCAGGTAAAGAAATAGTTTTCAGGTGAATTAATATTACTATTGGGATGCTAAAATTACTTACTCTGTAAAACTGTTATAAATCTGACCTCTAGACTTGGAAAAGAAAATATTGCCTTCATTGAGAACCAAGTAAATAGAGAGAGAAGCCACCAAAGATACAGCATAGACGAGGGTCCTGGATCCTTTAAGGGAAGATCTATCAATAAAAGAGGGTTTTTAGGTCCAGAGACCATCCTTATCACCCAACGAGGACACTGGTCTCCATTAACACAGAAAAAACACCAAAGCAACAGATGTATCCTTAAGTGGCATAAAGTTCAACTGAGGAGCGGAAAACCTGCCAGCCACACACTTCTGTGAGCTGTGGACACCCTATAATTATTTTTTAATTAACTAGGCTTCTTCAACCCAATATCTAAATAATGTAACTGAAGCACAACTCTATCTCAAGTCTGAACTGTAAAGAGATTTCAATATATATTAAGGAGATAGTTATCTTTTCAGAGAAACATTTTTTTTTCAGCTTTACTCAGCTATAACTGACACATAACACTGTGTAACTCTAAGGTACACAGAGTGTTCTTTTGATACATTTATAGATTGCAAAATGATTGCCCCTGTTGTGTTCGCTAACACCTTCATTATGTCACATAGTTCTCATTTTTTTGTAGTGAGAACATTTAAGATCTACTCTCTTAACAACATTCAAGTATATAATACATTATTGTCAACAGTAATCACAAAGTTGTACAATCAATCCCAAAAACTTATTCATCTTCTAACTGGAAGTTTGTACCCTCTGACTAACATCTCCCCAATTCCTCTACCTCCCAATCCCTGGTGACCACCGTTCTATGACTTTGGCCTTTTTAGATTCTACATACATAAGTGATAGTATATAGTATTTGTCCAGAAACAGTTCTTTTATCTAGCAAGTCCCTAAGGTTTTTGTCAGCTAGTTTGATGACACTTCTATAAAACTATTATTCTAGTGTCAAGCTAACCTATAAAGAAATGACTGAAGTTGGTCTCGGCCACCCAGAGGAGATTTAACGGTAAGTATTATACACATAGGTCTAAATAATAACAAAGGAGAACGGCTCTTAAAAAATCCCACTGCCTGAATACTAATTTTAAAGAAAACTGTTTTCAATCTGATCTATCAATACAGTTTCATTTGAATCTCTGTTGGGAGTGTAGCTTTTTTGTACCTTCAGAGTATTCTCTAGTTCAGTAAGTAGAAGTGTTAGGATAATAATTCAGAGAATGGCCCCTAACAATTTTGGTCTTAATTTATGAAGGGTTAAACAATGCTTTTCTACTATTTTAGAGGCATGTCGTTCTCCTTTTACTGACTTTGTGGCATCTCTGTGACCCTCCAAAACAGAACACAACTTATGTCACATATTCATCTTTAAGTATAGGTGAACTAAAATTAGTTAATAGTTTTAAATTTTATGACATACTTAAAGAAAACAGGACATATATTCAGATTCTTTAAAAAACAGGGTTTTAATATCTTTGAGCTATCAAAGAATTTGCTAAGAATAACAATGGGGGACCCTCTAACAGATTTAACATTAATTCTTGAATACCCAAAGAAATAGGTATTATCAGAAGCATATTAAGTGCTTTAGGAACAAAAATATTTATGATGGTTAAGTCTCAAGTTTTTACTTTTGAGAATATGCTAAGATCTGCTTTAAAATATGCATAGCATATAAATTTTAATAGTGAGAAACATGGCACAATGGAGATGAAGCCAAACTGAAAAGTCTGGAATATGTTTTTCACCCAGAAACTACATCTAAAAAGTAGAACATCATACAGAAATGATGAAATAGAGATAATTGGGGGTTGAATGTTGTATGATTGGAAATTTTTAATATGTAAGTTATGTAATTAATCTAAGTGTTTTTTAAAAAAGCAGAGCATCATAAAATTACACTCCAGTATTATTAGTTGCTACTCTTTCCTTTCAAATAGCAAAGCATATATAAAATAGCAGATATTCCCTTGTATTATATATATTTGTCTGTGATCCCTCTGTTGACGGCAAACAGATTTATTTAGTAGGACAACTCTTGAAAAGTACAACCTCTAAACACAGTGTGGTCTAGAATGAGAAAAAGAAACCAATGGAGGAAGAAATGTAACTAAAGCAAAAAATAGAGATAATTTCCCTCTGAACTATAGAAAATCCTGAGTCTACAGATGGAAAGGCACAAGTTGCAGTCAGGATTGATTGATATATTAAATAAATTCATTAAATTCATTAAATAAAAATTAATGAAACAGAGGGAAAGAAAAACGTTGACTCCTGTGAGGTGCATCTTATCCATAATCTGGAACTAAACCATCTCGGGAAAACATGTGGGTCTAATCTGAATAACAGCAAAAGGAAGATAACCAATATCGGGAAAGCAGAGTAGAGCTTTCAAATTATGAAGGTAAAAATATATATACATATGCTAATTCAACTTGATCAACACAGGAGAAAAAAATAAGGAAAAAGATGCAAAATAAATAATCAAAAATCAAGATGGAAGAAAGAAAATCAAGTAAATTATGTATTTCTGTAAATGTAAACAAATCCTCCCATCCAGTGGCAGGAACTCTCACTTCTCCCAGAAGACTCACACTTAGAAGAAGCGATTTAAAAAATAAAAGGTGGACAGTAGGCAAAGAATTCCAAGAAACTAGAAGGAAGGAGCAATATTAATATCAAACAAGGTAGAATTAAAGTTAAAAATGTGAATCAGGATAAAGAGAAACATTATATAACAACTGACAATTTATAAAGACCTCAGAGACACAAACCTGCATAAACCAATCAACATTGCAGCTAAATATACAAAGCAAAAACAACTAAGAATTGATTGCTAATGTATACATTTTTTTTACAGAGTGATAAATGTGTTCTAAAATTGCTTTAGTGATGATTGTACAACTTTATGACTACACTAAAAACCCTGAAGCATACACATTAAATGGGTGAATTGTAAGGTATGTGAATTATATTTCAGTAAAGCTCTTATATATTTAAAGAATTAAGAATAAAAGAACTCTATACAATTATTTTGGGAAACTTTAATACACGTCTCTCAGGATCATATGGACCTAATAGACTAAAAAGCAAAATCATAAAGACATTAACTAAAAATATATACAACAATAAACTTAATAAAAATAAAAGTATACTGGAAAACCTGAATGTGCCTTTTTCAGAACCAAAAAGATCAAAGATTAAAAAAACAAACTCAATGATTAATTTAATACATATTAACAATAAAAAGCAAAAACAAAAAAGTCAGAGAAAAAATGAAATTAAAATTTAATAATAAGCAAAATTCAAACACATATGTGTATGTACATAATGTATATATCTATGTACTTGCATATATGTGTTTGTATGTATAGGAAGAATTATAAAAATTCCTCAAATACTGGGCCAGAAAATTCCCGTAAGATATTTTTAAGATTTTGCAGATCACATTTTCTAATAGTAATAAAAATAAATATTTACAAACAAAAAGATGACCAAAAATCATATCTAATTAGAAGTTAAGCAATACACTCCTTTGAATTAAAGAGAAAATCAAAGTTGGAATCATAACTTCTAGAAATCAATGAAAAGACTACTACATACAAATCCTGAGGCACAGAAAAAACTGTACTGAAAAAAAAAAAAGAAGGGGGCACCTGGGTGGCTCAGTCGTTTAAGCGTCTGCCTTCGGCTCAGGTCATGGTCCCAGGGTCCTGGGATCAAGCCCCACATCGGGCTCTACGAGAAGCCTGCTTCTCCCTCTCCCACTCCCCCTGCTTGTGTTCCCTCTCTCGCTGTGTCTCTCTCTGTCAAATAGATAAATAAAATCTTAAAAAAAAAAAAGAATACATCATCAATGTTTTCAGCAAAAACCAAATAAAAAGCTTCCAAATTAAGAAAACTGTGTTGAGCTTTTAAAAAACGAATAGGTAAAAGCTGGAATTAAGAGAAAAAATATACTAAATTAGGAATGAGAAAGATGACATAGCTACATATTAATAAGAAATAGAGGAATAAAAAAAACCACAATGTTTTGCCATCAAATGTATAAATACAATGTTAAATACTTTTATGGCAAAGTATAAATGACCAAAATTCACCAAGAAATGGGCAATCTGAGTTCTGCCTGGTCTTTAAAATAAATTATTAGAGAGTTATTTAAATATTTCCAGGCCATAGAAAAAAAATCAAAACTACTCAATTATTTTTACTAAGACCACATAACTTTAATGCCAAAACTTGAGGTAGTATGGTAAAAACCAATTTCTCTCAAGAGTATTTGTTGAAGAAGTAGCAAATAGAATCTATAAACTTAGAGAATAATACATTCTGACCCAATAGTGTTTATATCAGAAATGAAAAGGCCTGGGGCACCTGGTGGGCTTAGTCCAGGGGAGCCTGCAACTCTCGGTCCTGGGATCTTGAGCTCGAGCCCCACAGAGTGTAGAGATGACTTTAAAAAGAATCTTAAAAAAACAAAAAGGTAGTTCAATATCAGAAAATCTATCTGCAAAAATTATCACATTCATAAAATTGAGAAAATGATTATATCAGTAGTTTTTGAAAAGTCTAAGATTTAACTGTTTTAATAAAAAATTTTGAGTAAAATAGGGATATAAAGAAACTGCTCAAGAGATATTGCTTTCCAAAAACCAGAAGCAAAGCTTCTTTTAAAGGATAAAACACTAAACATGTTTCAACTAAAACCAGAGATGAGATCAGTGTGCTTGCTATCACCATTATTATTCAATGTTACATTGGAGTTTCTGGGGCATCCTAGGAGATCTGCAAGTGAAATAATTGGCATACACACTGGAAAGAAGAGTAAAATTATATTTTTGATAATGAAGAAGATTGTACATTCAGAAAATCGAGAAAGTCTTCTAATTTGGAGGCTCTTTCTTGCTTACTTGCTTTCTTTCCCTCACTCTGGTGCTCAAAACATTTATAACATTTATAACACACATTTTATAGAAAAAAAAAACTACTAGAATTTTAAAATGGTAGTAAAGTATAATATGAAATATAGAATCAATAGCTTTTCTCTGTATTAGCAGTAAGAATCTAGAAGTAGAAATGGGAAAATATTCAAAGTAGAAATAAAAACTGTAAAGCCATATATTTCAAGAGAAAGGCACAGAACTTATGTTAAGAAAACTATAAAATCTTAACACAGCCAACAAAACCTAACAAATAGAAAAATATTCCATATTTTAAAATAGGAAGACTTTCTATTATAAAACTATCAATTCTCCCAAAATTAATAAATAAATGTAATGCATTTCCTGTTATAGTCTCAACAAGGCTTCTTGCCTAGTACAATCATTTTAAGATTCATATATAAGAACAAATGCCTACAACAGCCCCAAAATGTTTGAATAGAAAGACTACTGGGAGGAACCAGATACAAGAATAAATGAAATGGACTCCAGCTATGTTTGTTGTTTCCATAGGAACAAACAAAGAGACTGAATTAGAATAGAGAATTCAGAAGTAAATCTGTGTATAGGAGAAGTTTTAATGTAGTGCCAAATAGCATTTTAATTCAATGGGGGAAAGAATGGTTTACCTAATAAATGACACCAGGCATGTGGAAAACAAAATTAAATCCCATCTCACATCACAAAGAAAATCAAATTTTAGGATCAGTTAGAAGCTTAAGATGTAAAAGACCAAACAATAAATACTGTAGAAAAAAATCTAGGAGAGTACATGTATTCCTTAATTTAAAGTGGCAAACCAACACAGAAAAAGACATAAAGACATATTTGAGTTGGTAAGATACAAAGCTAAATTAAAACTGTCAGAATAACGTATAGAGTACAATTCTATTTTAGTAAATACATCCATGTGTATGTGTTTGTGTGCATGACTCACCTTCCCTGCCTGTCTGTCCTGTCACTTTGTTCAGGCCACCATGATCCACAGACTAGAATTATTTCAACAGCCTCCTAACTTGTCTGCTTTCTAGTCTCTCTGCAATCCATTTTCTATACACTCCTCAAAATCATAAATCTTACATATCATTTCTCTGCATAAAGCCCTCCCGAGATTATCCACAGCCCTTAGGATAAAATACAAGCTCAGCAAAGTTTGATCCAGCCTTCACTCTGGGCCCATCCTCATCTCACCCAATTTGCCCGGCTCACATCCCTGCACAAGCCATCAGGAACCACTGGGAATTTCCCAAACATGTCCAACAATCTCTCTCTCACGTACAGGCTCCTGTATGTGCTTTCTATTTTGTTTTGCTTCTTTAATGGAATTCTGTTCTCCTAACCCACTTAGTTGTCTGCTTAGACTCATCTTGCAGATCCTCACACCTAAATTCCTCCAGAATGCTTTCCCTGACATATACACTGAGATAGTGGCCTCTGCTTTTTTGGCTTCTCAAGCACATTGTGATTACCCTCTAGCATTTATCACACAACACTTGCTTGTTTGTCCACCGCTCAGCCAGACATGGCCTCTGTGAAGACAAGAGTTATGTCCTAGTCAACATTTATTCATTCCTTTATATAAAAGAGAGAGAGAGAGAGAGAGAGAGAGAGAACACCTGGTCAGGATCAGTCTCAGTGCTGAGGACCGGGAATACTAGAGTGACCAGAATAGACATGGGTCTTCCCTTTACTGAACTACATGAAAGACTGAACAATCCAGAAATTGAACATATATTCCAGCAATAATCCAAAAGAAACCACATGATGATAGTGTTATAATAAGGGGCACAGTGCTTGAGAGCTTATATCAGGGACCTAATGAAATCTACTGGGTCAAAGAAAGTGTCCTTTAAAAGGGACACATCTGAAGGATAAATAAAAGTCGTCTAGGCAACCAAGAAGGAACAGACAGAAAGAAAACCATTCCAGACCAAAAGAACATTAGGCGAAGTTCCTGGAAGAGAAAC